GACATTAAATCACAATCAAAAGAAATTAAGTACAATGAAGAAAATAAATTAAATAAGTGGAAAAAAAGATCCTAAACAATATGAATTACGAAGGAAAGTAAAGTAATACTGAATTCATCAGAAAAGCAGTCCATATAGAGCAGAAACCTTTAAAAACGTTTTCACATATCACAGTAAACATGGCAAAACTCGCTTGGATGTTTGTCCATAGCTTTTAAAAATTATGGTATATAGATTTTACAAATAAGAAAAAAGGAAAAAGATGGAACTCATATGAATTGCCAATCCACTGCAGCAGTTGGTTTGGGTGGTTGACTTGGATTGTAGAGCGTGTGGCACAAAGAATAAACGATACTCTATCAGTGTAACTATGACAAAAAGAAGCAACATTGGAACTGCATCCATAGCCCAAGATTATCTTCATCATACAGAAATCAAGCAAACCTTGAACCACACATCCCAAACCACCATAGTAGGGGGAAAGGAAAAAGTTGATATCATAAAGCTGCTGCCACAGTAATTAAAACCAATTTATTGTATAAAACAAGAGCTTTGAAACACTTATAAAACAATCATAAGGGTAACATCAATTCATGGTAGTTTAAAGAACATGTTGGTCTACTTAGGCAAGTGGTAAAAAAATGTATCACCCTAACACAGCCTAGCATGACCGACTAAAATATTGGCAACAGGGAAAAGAGGAGATCGCAAGAAAATGATCACCTCGGCAAAGTTGCCTCCACAAAAATGTCTATTCTTCATCTTACATGAGGGCAACAACTTTAAGGTAGTTTGATAAAAACAATCAAAAGGTACTTTTAAAGAACATGTAGGTCCACTTATGCAATAGGTATAATCCAAAAAAAGATGTATCACCCTAATGCAGCCTAGCACGACCAACTAAAATATTGGCAACAGGGAAAAGAGGAGATTGCAAGAAAATAATCACCTCGGCAAAGTTGCCTCCTCGACAAATGTCTATTCTACATATTACACGAGGGAAACACCAACTTTAAGGTCATTTGATAAAAACAATCATAAGGTAGTTTTAAAGAACATGTAAGTCAACTTAGGCAATAGGTATAATCCAAAAAGAGATGTATCGCCCTAATGCAGCCTAGCATGACCAACTAAAATATTGGCAACAGGGAAAAGAGATCGCAAGAAAATGATCACCTCGGCAAAGTTGCCTCCGTAAAAAATGTCTATTCCACATCTTACACAGGGCAACACCAACTTTAAGATAGTTTAATAAAAAAATCATGAAGGTAATACCCACTTGTAGTAGAATTTAGAGAAAATGTTGATTCACTTAGGCAATTGGTGTAAACCATAAAAATGGTATCACCCTAAGACCGCCTAGGTCAACCGAATATGATATTGGCAACAGGGAAAAGAGGAGATCCACAATAAATTGATCACCTCGGCAAAGTTGCCTAGCCTGAATTCTGTTCTACATCTTACAAAACTTCCAAGAATAAAACAAAAAGGTATTGAGTATTCACAAGAAAAGCTGTTGAAAAAACTGAGTTGAGAGATTATTTCCCCTATCAGAATAACTATGACAAAAAAACTTCATTTGGATGTAGATCCATAGCTAAAAAAAAGTTCATCATTAAGTAATGAGCAAAAGCAAATTCTTCATGCTTAAAGCAATTGCAAATTCAATTAGAAAAATGAAAAGTTCGGTCAAATAGCAAAAGCAAAATAGATGTAGAAACATTCAAATAACACAAAGGATAATAAAGAATATGAGCATCACAGCAATGATATACAAAACAATTATCTTCTTTCCCGGCCTGACAAGTCTCAAGGCAACTTCGGCAGCGGTATTTGCAGCAGCAATTACATCAGCCTGCCTGCCAGAGACTGGTCCATCCTTGTCAACATGAGTGCGTGCAACTACAGCTATAAACCCATCAATGTGGCAACCCATATCACTGCATCCAGGAAAAACGGAACATTTTACTTGACACTCAAAAGTAAAAAATCCCACCAAAATATTAAAAAATTATACATGTTTATGAAGCTTACATCTTCACCATATCACCTTCTTCCAACTCCGAGGTGTCACTAGCAAGTGGAGAGAAATGACAGACAACGTTGTTCACAGAGATACAAGTAGGGAAAGCAACACCCTTCTCAATCTCCTTCTTAGCATTCTTGTACATGTTGCCCGTTTGTCTTTGCATTACATAGAACACGGATTCCTAATCTCGTTATCGATGGTAAAAAAACCTACAATAAAACACTAAACCATCATAAACCAAAACGCTTACTCTCTGATAAAAGAATCACCCTTCTCACAAATGTCAACAATCTTAGATTTCGGCTTGCATTCTTTCACAACTAGCTGCAACGCCTCTGCAAATTTCCAAAACATAACATCAAAACAAAAACAACAAAAAAATAACCGAACAAATATCAAAACTAAAAACCCATTTCCAATACGCTTTAGAAAATTCAAGTAAATAACAAAAGATAAGATACTAACTGTTGACAATCTCAGCAGAGCTCTTGTACTTGGTAACAACTTCAGAGGAGGTGAGATCCAGCTCCTTCTCCTCTCCCTCATATTTTCCGACATCGTTTCCAGAGCTTATAAAAACCTATGAAAATTCCTTAAAAAATAAAATAAAAAAGATATCAGTGAACGGTCAAAGAAGATACTGAGAAAAGGATGACGGTAATTGAGAGAGAAAGGAGCTAACTGGTCGAAAATAGCAGCAGTCAATTAGGGGAGCTAGGGTTTTGAAGAGGTAATGTGCTGAGAAGAGATGAAATGTATAAATAAACAATGCTGACTCGAAGAGGAGAGAATTAGGGTTTTTGGGATCTTATAACGGCAGCGTTCTCTTATATTGAATTTTTTCTTTTAATATGAAATAATTATAAGGTAATATTTATTTATTATTTTTTAATTATTTGATAATACACATACTTTACATATATTGTTACTTGAACTTAATGTCTATTTTATCACTAAAATCATTTGATAAATTGTTATATAAAATTTTATAAATTTATATCCCTAATTTTTAATATATATTTTTAAAAATATTATACCCTTAATTATGTTTTTTATGATATGTGTGGACCTTTTGGCTATTTTAGATAGGGTTATGGTACAAAATTTCAATTCGGTAATGATCTTGAGACTATAATAAAACCTTTAGATGATGGAAAGATACTAAATGAGACATTGTTTGATAATCTATTGAAAATATTCATTCAACTGATGATTAATATTTTAATGAATTAATTTATTCAATATATTTTCCGGAAAAGATAGGGAATTAATTACACGGGATGAAACTCACAATTTAATTTAATGTCAATAAAAAAATAATGTTATTTGTCATTGTATCATATGTTTAACCAATAAAATTTGTACGAATCAAGTAATTTTAATAATTAAGAGATTGTTATTATTTTTTTTTAAATTTGATTTGAACACGATATTTATAGATTTACATGAACGTTTATTATTAATGATTAAAAGTATTTGAAATAAATATTACTTAAATATTTAATCGTTTTTTTTCTCTCTAACACAGTAACACTAGTCCTTGTAACGTATAAGATGTGGTTAGAATATGTTCCATCAATTTATATTTTTTTCGGTTAACTTTTATGATATTTTTTTTCTGTAGAAACATCTAGTTTAAAATAAAACTAAAAAACATATAAGTGTTATTATATTTGTAAGTTAAAAATATATATGAATTGTTTTATATAAAATTTTTATTAGGTTTATATTGACTTAATTTATAGAATTTTTCTAAATTCACGTTGTTTGGATCAGATATGTTATATATCCTCCTCTATTCAAAAACCAAAAAAATATTTATATATTTCCTTTTTCTCGTAAGATCTAAGAATGTTGGAACTCGGAAACCTATGTTACTACTGTAACTAATTTTACTATGCTTTGCACCCAAAATATGACTAAGAACCTGCGTGTCGTCGGAGAAATGCATCATTTCCTCGTATATTCCTTTACGTGTCGTCGATCTGCTCCTTTCATGGCTTCCTTCTATAAAAACCACCCTTAGCCACTTTGCATGCATAGTAACGTGAATTCACCTAGTGTTAAGTAAAGCCAGAAGATTGAAAGTGATAATGGCGTCTCAACAAGAAAGACAGAAACTTGACTATAAGGCAAGGCAGGGAGAGACGGTTGTTCCCGGAGGAACTGGTGGCAAGAGTCTCGACGCTCTAGAGAACCTTGCTAAAGGTATACTGTCTACATATTGTTTGATATTTTGATCATTCTTTGAGATGGGCTTAAAATTTTATGTTAGAAATGAATTTATAAAATTTTATATTAGAGAATGAATTTATGAAATTTTATCTTAAAATCTTACAAGAAAAATGTAATTATCGATAGAAAAGACGACTGCATCTACTAACCTCCTTCTGTGTATCCCTGACCATTCTTTTATATATATATATATATATATATATATGTTTGTTTTCTTGAATATATATATATATATATATATATATATATATATATATATATATATATGTTTGTTTTCTTGAATATATAGGGAGAAGTAAAGGAGGCCAACCAAACAAGGAGGGGGCAGCTAAGGAGAGAAGGGTATCAGGAACTGGGAAGCAAAGGAGGACAAAGAAGGATGGATCAAATGGGGAGTGAAGGGTATCAAGAAATGGGCCAAAAAGGCGGACTCAGCACTACGGACAAGTCGGGGTTGAGCGAGCTGCCGAGGAAGGAATCGATATTGACGAGTCCAAGTTAGTTCAGAACTAGGAATCCATAACACTCTGCTGTGTTGTGCCTCAGTTTGCTAGGGTTGAGTCTTAGTGGGGTTTTCAGTTTCCGTTGTTCTCTTTTTTCCTGTGTGTTTCAGTAGGTTGGTTTGTTTTTCTGGTTTCCAGTGGTCATCTCTATGAATATCTAACAGAAGATTAGAGTCTATTCCACCATGAAATAATGCTTTATCATGCACTACTAAAATCCATACAATTGCTGACATCACCAAACATATCTGTTTATTTCACTAAGTGTACAAACAAAGAGTTCTAAAATCCGTGAGTAACACTTTTCCAGAGACTTTCCCAAGACAAAATGGTAAAAGGAAAAAGAGAGGAGGCAAGAAAAGATACATTGGGAATAGACTGATTAATTTCATCAGTGGCTCGTTGCTAAAGCAGTCACCAGTAATCCAAGCACTAGAAATGGTTGTGCGCTTGCCTGAAACACAGCAACAAGCGTAAACGATTAATACGAAACAAGAGCTAAATTGCAGCTCTGTGTTCGTCAGTGAGCAATGGAGTTCGAATAAAATTTACCTGATACTTGACATCGTACTTGACAGGATCCTTTAGGAAGTACTGGAACTGCAGTGGATAAGATATAGGGTATATATGAGCATTAGAGTTTATCAAGGTAAAAGGGGTTGTAGTTTCTACTAAGTATCAAGAAATATTTCTACCTGAAATACAACTTGCGGAACTATCAAAGCAACTAGGGCAAGTGCATAATATGGCTTACCAGCACCTAGAAGATAACCTGTAAGCAACATATGTGATGTGATTACTTTTACCAAAAGAAAGATGCACTGAATTTCCTAGTTCTTCAGTTACTATCATAAATTCCAGCTACATACCAGCTACAGATAATTGTGTTATGTCGATAGCACCAACACAAATCCATTTAGCCGTCTCAGCACCGAAGGCTACAGGAAGAGACTGCTCAAGCATCATAAGCATACAAATATCAACTCCCTTTTCCCAAAGGATAATATAAAGCAAGCAGCTTGCAGAACTCACTACAGCCCCAAGGGTTTAGCCAATAAGAATAGTAAAGAAAGAAGACCTGTAATCCTAGAGCTTTGTCTCCTTCTATACTTTTGAAGTCATTAACAATGGCAATACCCAACTGCAAAGTGATACAACAAAAACGAATTGTTACAAGTCAAATGATATACTCAGGGACAGACGTACGTTATGGGTGGTCAATTGTAATTTTGAAACCATTATAATTAAACCCTTGCTCCTCCCAAAATTTTGGTATAATTGTGTTTTAGGATATTGTCAGTTTTCAAATTAATGGAATTAAGCCTTTACATCAAATTTATATGGTTTGTTACTTTCTAAGACCTTTGAATTTTAAATCTAGTGAAAGTAAATCTTTCATCTCTTAATTTTTATGGTTTAATTATATTTTTAAAACCATATTTATTTTAAAGTTACACAATTTGCCCCCCTCGTGATTCAATCCTGGCACCGTCCTGCATATACCTCAAAACATAAACAAGAATGTGATAGATGTAAAAAACATACCCCAGCTATGCTGTATAAGAGTGTGAGAACAATGATGTCGGGTGTAAGTGTACCAAACAAAGCTTGACCAGCCCACCTATTAACAAAGTTTAGCACAAATCTTGTCACGGTGAAGGTGAAAGTCCGGGACATGTCAAATACTTCAATAAGGAAATAAGACAAATCATTCTGTGAGTCTCATATTATGAACGTTTGAGATTATTCTACATAAGGGTCTAAAGCAGTAAGACGGTATATAAATCAATGGAATAGAAATCATGAATCATCATAGGTGAATAACGGTAGTTTAATTTATGTTGTAAACATTAGCAAAATAGATGATATCACACCAGGGCAAACTGATATAGCTAGCTCCAAGAGCAAAATTTCCTATCCAACCATTTTGTTTCAGCTGCAAAATATTTGAAATTTAGTTAGATCTAAGCTTTTATTTTCATCCACAAGAACTAAGTAGACAATGAAGTACGCAAGTGAACTACCTTTAAAGGAGGTGCAGAGTATATGTATGACAGCAAGGATCCTCCCAAAGCAAGGTAAAATAGAGTAGGAGTGTCATGCCCTGCCTATAAAGATGGATTAGAACTGCATTGTCTTTGTACATCTTTTAGGTAAAACGTGCCCATTGTTTGAAATTACCTACCCACACGTCTAGTATACCAGCTATGCCAAGGCCTCCTAAGAGTAACAACCAGATTTGGCTAATAACCTGAATGAAAATTTTGATGAATATCACTGCAAACAAAACATGTATATACACAAACTAGTTATACACACCTCGTTCTCGGATATTGCTCCGGAAGGGATTGGGCGATAAGGCTCATTAATTGCATCAATTTCTCTATCATACCAATCATTGAGAGTCTGAAAAATGTCAAATTAGCCAGACAATTTTGCATTATTCAATTTGAAATTCCCCTTTTTCATTAAAATCAATAGACAATATCATTCATAAGGGTTTATACCTGAGTATAGCCTGTTAGACATGGACCTGACATTATCATGCAAAGAACTGATTTGGCAACATCCTCCAAATTCCAGTGGAAGTTTCCTACAATTTATAAAATCATTTGAGGTGGTCCTCTAGTTAGCTTACAAACTCTTCCACAAAACTTGTAAATGAGTTCAGGGACAGAGAAATACATTCATAAAAGAAAGTGATTGGGATGAACAAGTAACATTTAACCAACACATAAAATTTCAAGCACTAGATATTATGGAACTTCCATATGATTTCTTATGTATTTTAATTCTTATACCCACAATAGAAGGGTATTCCTAGTTCTAATAATAGATCTGATCAAGTTTTCTTGGAGATTAGAGTACCCGAAGCAGCAGCTCCACAAACTACTCCCCATACCAATGGAGGCCAAGTAACTGGCTTTGTAAGTTGAAGACGGATCTTCCATTTATTCTGCATCATGTATAAAAACACCAAGTCATATAGTAGCTCTTATACAAGTGAGGATAGCTTCAAAGGTTCCTAGATAAGTAAGGCTCAAGGTTTACTCATTTGAGTAGCAAAAGAAACAAACAAGAGCAAAAGTTTTCCCAGTAAGCATCTGCCAATTGTGAACCAAATTACGTGTATGACTAATGCACTAAAAGCAATAGTTTTATCCTCAGAATATGAAGGCGACTGCCCTGCAACTAAGAATTCTATTTTCATTCAGTTGACATCTGAAGTCCAATTGCATTTTTAGTCAATAATTGGAGCATAAATAATAAGAAATCACTGAAATTCTGTTAGCATCATCAAGTAAAAAAAAGGTAGAAATGGATCTTTATCTAGAGGAATTACAGTTTCTTGGGCAGCTCCTTTGATACCAAGAAGTTGGTTGAAGCTTGACCCTCCACCGGCAGGTGCCTTATCCGGTGCCTTGGATTTTACTGCCAAATAAACACAAATATCCACCACAAAAATTCTGAAATTTGATCGGAAAAAAAACTAGTTTATATATATTTGTTGTTGAAAGCAACAAAAAAAGTCATAAACACAAACCTTCATTTGTATCAGTGTCCGCCGCTCTGACAGTCAATCTCCGTCCTGAAAAAAGGAAAGTAAGGAGATTTGGTTCGCAGTATTAGAAGCGAAAGAGATGAAATTAAAAATAAATTAAGGATAAAATAGAAAGGATAAGAGCTAAAAAGTAACTCTTGTTTACAGCTATTCAACTATCAAATTCAATCCAAGTTCCTTTCGAGGTCTAGCTAATGGAGGAGCAAAAACAGAGCAGTAACGAGTTAACTCACTGGTTAGAGAGAGAGTAGGGGGAGTTGAAACGGAGTGAGTTGGGACACGGAGGCGATTGGCGTCTTTGTTGTTGTTCCAATTGTGAAATCTGGATAGCTTCGAGCAAAAAACAGTGTTGAGTATGGACGACATAGAAGAGATTCAAGTTTCTTACACTTTCTTTCCACTTCGAAGCTCCAAGGAGATGGAACAAGCTACCAAGCGTTATGGTTTGTAGTTGATAACCCAGCCCAGCTCCTCGGTGCATATTAATATTGGAGAGGAAATAGAAAACTTATCCATTTTTATTGTTTTCTTTATTTCAATTTAACTATTATTAATTAATTATAAATATTTAATTAGATGAAAATTAATAATTTAATTAAAAAAATTACTAATTTGAGATTTTCGCATATTAAATATAAAATGATTAAGATATAACATGATAAGTGTAAACTGAAACAATATTATATAGGGTAAACTACATATTTAGTGTCTAAACTATTACTTTTGTTTCATTTTTATATCTAATCTTTATTTTTTCCAATATTATACCTAACGTTTAGTTTAAGTTTCATTTAGTACTTCGCTGTTAAAAACTTAACAGTTATGTTGATGTGTCATCGTAAGATAATGTCACGTCATCAATGAAAAAAATGACTCATCAACAGTTCTGTTATTTTTTCACGTTGAGATGCCAAAATGAAATATAAACTAAACGTTAAGTATAATTAAAAAAATTATATATAAAATTTGAATAAAAATAATAGTTTAAGTACTAAACATGTACTTTACCTAATTGTTATAAAATAATATATGTACATAAATTTTTAACTATCGACAATATGCATCCTACAAACACATCTGCATATTATAATTTACATTGGGGTAAACTAGATATTTAGTTATCCACATATTTTTATAGTTTTGTTTTAGTCACCCCATTATTTTTTAAAATCATATTTAACACTATGTTTTGATTCTATTTTAGTTACTCATCGTTAAAAAATTAATAGTAATATTGTTATGTCACCATAAGATAATATCACGTCATCATTTGAAAAAAAATAAAAAAAATATCAAATTAATGGTTTTATTTATTTTTTAATAATAGATGACCAAAATAGAACAGAAATATAAAGTTAAGTATGATTCACCAAAACAATTGAGTAATCACCATAAAACTACAAAAATATGAGTTACTAAATAAGTAAATATGTAATTTATCCTTAGATTTATGACCCAAAAGCTGACACTATGTAATTTAAACATTATTCCGAAGTGTAGAGGGGGAATTATGAAAAGACATCATATAGTCCAATTCACGTCAACAAATTACTCATTTTTTAATAGTTTTGAGTAGTTATAAAATAATATACATTCAGACTTCCTTAAATTATTGACAACGTACATAAATTTTATAAACGTAATTATTTAAATACAATATTTTATAGAGAATAACATTTTATTTTTTTCACTAAATCCACATAAGTCTAAATCTAATACTAGATTACTAATTAAGTGGGCACTTTGTTTTTGAATCATTACAGACAGACTACTTTAACTTGGACAGAAAAAATAGGGTTTGGTGTGCTTTCCAGGTTTTTTTTTTTTTTTTGCTTTACCAAGGTCTTCTAACCATGGTTTTTAGAATAGGACCGGTTAGCGAATCGGTTATACTATCGATTCACTGGTTCAATCGGTCGAACCGGTTAAATCGATCGAAAGAATCGGACGACGTCATAATTATTTAAAAAATTAAATAAAATACAAAAAATATTTAATAAAAAATAATTTTTATATCACAATTCATATTCAAAACAAGTCATAACATATATAAGTTAAAAACCATAAAATCAAGTGAAACAAAATGATTCAAATTAACTACAACATAATATTTAAGGTAAAACATACTAAATAATAAATATAATTATATAACTATAATTAAAAAATAAATTTGGGGCTAAAAAAAATCATAACAAAATGATATTGTTTGGTTTAATTTTTTTTAAAAACAATCTCACATGACTAAGAAACATAGAAGATCATCCCAACTAACTTCTATAAATAATATAGGTAATTTGGCATTCAAAATCATTGAACATTTTGGTAAGCATTGAGTGAACTATTCTTTTACTTCAATCAAGCTCGAATTTTAGGCTTCAATTGAGCTTCTAAATTTTTTTGAGTTCAAGCCTTTTCGAGTTCAAGTTTCAATATTATATTTCGAGTTCGAGTTAAACTTCATAATTTTTAGCTCGTGAGTTTGAGTCGAGTTGAGTTTACTTTTAAATTTTTCAAGTTCGAGTCGAGCTCAGCAACACTCGAGTTCGACTTGGCTCGTTTAACAAACGACGTCGTTTGGTTTAATTTAAAAAAAAAATGTGGTTTTTTCCAGTTTTCAGCCGGTTCGGTTTGAATATTTCAGCGGTTCTGGCCGGTTCACTAGTAGCGGTTTAACCGGTTTAGATTGAACCGGACTAGATAACAATTTTCAATTGAACCGACCGATCCGATCCGATTTTCAAAACAGAGCTTCTAACATATTAAAATGTATTGCAACTATTATTACACCTACTAATCAATTGCAAATTACTTTTTAGTATATATTAAATTCAAACATAGTGAGCAAAAAAGGAAAGACTAAGCGAAGTCTAATTTGAAGACAACATTTTAGTTGGGATGGAACTAGGGATAATCATATATTGGATTAGATTTTTGATCTACCTAATTTGATTCGATGTAATATTTTTTAGTCGTATCAAGTAGTTTTACTTTAAACCCAAACTCGACTCAATCCAAACATGAAATTTTAAAACAAAATAGATTGACTATATAAGATCGAGTCCGAACTCATCGAATTCAAATTAAATACTCATTTGTACTGTAAGTGAAATTAAGATAAAAATATTAAGAGGTTAAATTATTTAATTTTATTATTAATAATAAATTTTAAAATATTTTATAGAAAACAGATTAGGAATTGAGTTATTTAATTTTAAAATTTACAATATCTTAATAAATATTTAACCAAAAAATAGACTAATGCTTAATTTAAGTAATTGTAAAATCGATTAAATCTAAGAAAAAAATTTGATTTAATTTATTTGAGAGTAAATTATACTTGTGACATTTAATTATGAGTATTCTATAACTAATCACAACATCACTACTAAGAGTTAACCGCCAATAGAAAATAAATTCAATGAGTTGAGCGAGTAGTTTATAACATTTTATAGTTGGATGGACAACAAATAAATCCCACCAAAGTTTGATGACCATATGGTGTAATTTACCTAATAAATAATTGTACCGATAATACACATATGATGAATATGTTATTTTATACATTTATATATGATATGTATAATAAGCAATTATATGTATCAAAAGGATATTTGTAATATCAATAAGTTGGTTTGGTAAAATAAGATATCAGAGTTTGAATATTGACATTATAAATAAATAAATTGAGTTAAGAATATCACTCCAATATAATTTTTTGTTGTTATTCAATTTATATTATTTAATTAATAGATATAATACTTATAATTAAACAAAAATGATGTTAATAATTAATTGTAAATATAATATTTTAAAAAAATTTGTAAAATGCTAATAATTGTTGATCCAATCATAACAATTTGTGCTGCCTTTGGGTTCGAGGGAACCCTTAAAAGTCTAGAAGCCCGTACTAGCCATAGTCTGACTGACGGAGCCCAATGGATTGGCCTAACACGAAAGCTAATCGAGTGGTTTAGGGACAAACTTATATAATTAAATAAAATATTATCTTAATTAAGTTTTTATTTAGAAATTTTAATCAAATAAATTAATATAACTGGAAATATATTTCAATTTTGAGTTATTATTTCATAATTTTATAATCAAGTTTAGGAATTTACTTGATCATTAACTCATTGAATGGTGTTAGGGATATGCATTTTTAGATATCAAAATTTTTTGTAAGTTTTTTTAGTTAGATTAATTTGGATTTAATAGAAATATAATTTTTATTTGAGTTAAAATTTGATTAAGTTTTAAAAATTTAATGAGTTTAGTATAATTAAAAACCAGTTGGATGTTAATTATTATCATGTTTGAGTTTAAAATATCTATAAGATATATTAAATATTAAATATTTTTAGTTATTTTGGTTAATTAATAGTCTTCAAATTGAATTAACTGATAACAAAACTTTGAAAATGCTATTAACCATTAATCGATCTAACATCTAATTAACCGATAGATTAATTGATTTAAACTTTAATTTAATCGATTAATTCAATTAAAACCAAACAATGAATACCTCTATTTATAAACCACTCACTTTTCAGAAGATCCAAATAGATTTGATATTAATTAGATCGATTTTGATCAAATTAGTTAAAATTTTGAAATTATCAACAATTAATTGAACTAGTAAATAAGACACTAAATTTTTTTAAATAAGATCATAGATTAAAATTATAAATATTATAAATTAAATTAAAAATATTACTCTATAATATATTTATAATTTAAATTAATCGATTAATATATCAAATATCAACAATTAAATAAAAATATTTCCTATAACCATCCTTTTGTGAGTGTTTGCAAACCCAGTGATGTGGATAATCTAAAAGATTCCCTCAACATCCAATCACCTAAAGACATAGATTTCTTTCGGCATTAGACAAGCCAACCAAAAAGACAGAAACAAGAGTCACAACGAACACACACAGATACGTCCCAAACAATTACTATAAAATCTATTACTAAGTAGTAAATAAAGTAGTTTAATATTGTTTAAGCAATATATTAAGTTCGAGTTTGATATCTATTACTGGAAGACTCATTCATCAAAATCAAGTGTGCGATGCAGATCGGTCTGAATTAGTTAAGGCAAAATTTTAGAACTGGGATGACAACCAAACAAAATAAATCTATTCAAAAATAATATAACAAAAGAGTTTAAGGTTGTCACATTTTTATAATCCCTTTCAGGTGTGAAAAATTGAAAAAAAGACAAAACATAAACAATGTAAAATATGGGGGATTTGACATGTAAATTTCGAAGTGGAAAACACCACACATTCATGTCATGTCCTAGCTGTAAAATCAAAGCTAGGTTAATGAGGTTGATTGCCAAATTGTGATGTCCCAAGCCTTATGTGATTTTCGTTTGTTTATGTATTAATGGTCCCCACTCTCTATTTAAAAACAAATTTCAATAAAAATATAAAAAAATATTTAA